TCTTGCTGTATTATCTCTTACAACTGCATTTTAAATCTCCAAGTATCAAAATAGAAAGTTTAATTACAAAAAAAAAAATCTGGAAAAATTACTTTTTTTTATCCGAGGTGGAATTTAACTGGGCCTCCTATATCAGCCAGTGATGCTGGGCACCTGTTGGAAACACCAGCTCTCTGTACTCCAGACCCACAGAATGAGCAGCCGGGGGGCAACCCTAGCCTTTGAGAAGCTCTGGGTGGTGTCCAGATCCTCAGGAGACTGGGATAGTAGCCCATGTCCTTGAGTTATCTAAGACATTTCACAAAGACCAAAGGAGAGCAGACATCTTACCTAGTATCGGGCTGTGTAAGGACAATTGAATTCCAACCCTCTAGTGCTTTCTTGCTTAACTCAGAAGAGCCCAGACTCACTTTGGTCTAAATATCTCACAGGCGGGGCTCTGCTCCTCATTCCACCTCATCTCTCACCACTCTTGCACAAGTAATGACACACAAACACACCAAACCCGCTTCCACCTAAGGGCCTTTGCACATGCTGTTCATTCTGCCTGAACACTCTCCCTCTAGTGCTTCAAGTGGATCTCTGCTCAAAGGCTGTGTCCTGAGAAAGGCCTTCCCAGATCACAATAAGCCAGATCCCTTCTCCCAACCCTTGTCATAGTCTATCACGTTGAACCAATTTATTTTCTTCATATCAGTAGTTAGTACTAATTTATATTGAGTAGTTCATGTGAGTTAGCAACTGACAGTCCTGAAAGAGCATAAGTAATAAAAATTAGCAAAGCCAATCAACTAATCCTTTAAAAATGTGGTTTGTTTGTATGGTGGACAGAACCTTTTACAAACACCCAGATCTTGGTATAAACAAGTGGCCATGCAAAACACCTCTAAGTCCCTCCAATTCTTACCTTCAAGTCTTTCTCTAGATCTCATTTTGTACTTGACCCTCCTCAGCTTGAAAATGTCATCGCTTTCAGCAAGTTCACCGGCCTCAGCCTAGCACGCTAGGCTGTTCTCATCTGGCTCCTGTCCACTTCTCCAGGGTATTTCCCTTCTTGTCCTTCTCAGATTGATTCTTTGTTCTGGCCAGAATGCTCTCTGCATTGTTGCTTGAACACTGCAGGTGCAACCCCCCTCCAAGCCTCTGCTACTGCCATTCCCTTTGCCATTTATGACACCCTGTGTATGTGGGTGAAGAATCTTTAGGTCCCTTGTTCCGTCAATCAAAATTTATGAGCACCAATTATGCACCCAAAATGGCAAAGTGATTCCTCCCCCCATTCTAAGTACATTAGGAGCTACGACAGTGGAGCACAAATAGAGGAGTCAGGGCATGGTGTGCTAAGTAAGGGACACGCTGTGCAATGTGCCTCAAGAGAGGACAGTGCTGAACCAGGCATGGTGGTGCGCATCTGCAATCCCAGCACTCCGGGAGGGTGAGGCAGAAGAAATGCAACTTGGAACCCAGCCTGGGTAACGCAGCGAGACCTTGTCGCAAAAGAAAATTAAATTAAATTAAAATAAAAAGAGGGATGGGAATATAGCTCATTGCAAAGGCCCTGGCTTCAGTCCCCGCTAGGGTAGTGGGGCTGTAGAAATTTGAAATTTGGGGAAGAAGAAAAAGTGTCTGTCCATGATACTTATAGTATACACTTCCATTTACTTAGGCCATCTTTAATATTAGTCTTTCAATGATGCTGTACAATTTTCTCCAGGTCTTCAATGTTTATTCAGTGTTTATTGGTATATGATTTTCTTATTATCCTGCTGGAAATATTTAATTACATTTTCTAAATGTTCTTGTTATGTATAAAAGGAATTCATTTTTGTATTATGAATTTTGTATTCAGCTGCCTTCCAAACACTCTTATTTTTCTAATGATTTGACATTTCTTTTGGTTTCTATGGAGACAATCAGATATGTAAATAATAGCAGTTTCATTTCTTCCTTTTTACTATCCTATACCCTCAATTTATTTTTCTACTGTTACTGTACAGGTCATGATCTTTTTATTTTATTCCTGATTTCAAAGGGATGCTTCTGATATTCCTCCTTTATAAATGATGTTCATACTATTTACCAATGAAACCAAAGATAGCAGCTCCAAAATGCCAAAATTGTGAGCCAAAATAAACCTTTCCTCTTTAAAGTTAATTACCTCAGGTATCTGTCATGGTGATGGAAAGTGAACACACCTAGTTAGTCTGCTGTGATTTATCTCATGGGTGGTTATTGCACTTTATCAAATGCTTTTTCTGCATCTATGAAGATGACTGCATGATTTTTCTCCTTTCATTTGTTGATAAGGTGGTTTACTGTTGACTAATATTAAGCCACCCTAAGTTTCTCTTTTTTACTTGATTCAAAAGTATCTTTTCTTATTCATGGTTAGAGTCTCTTTGCTAGTAATTTTGCATTTTTATGAGTGCAGTCTTACTACATTTTTTGCTTTCATGCTCTGTCCTTGTCTGGTTTTGGTATCAAGGTTGCACAGGCATCAGAGAATGAGGAAGGCAGTTATTCCTCTTTTCCTGTTTTTGGAATAATGTACAAAAGATTCAATAATTTGAAAGTTTTCTAAGTCTTGCCTAAAAATTCATCTAGGTCTGGAGACTTTGTCATATATATATTTAAAATACAACAAACTTGCGAAAAAGTGCATGGAATGTAAATGTCCCACCTAGTGAGTTGTTGGAAAATAAACTAACAACGGGTCATTTAAAAACCAGTTTTGCAATAATATGAGCTCCTATGTGCCTCCTCATCCTTCCGTTCTAGTGCACCTGGGCATATGTTCTGCTTGGTATATGCTTAGGAGTAGAATTTCCGTGCATATGCATTTTCCTTTTCTCCACCGAAATAGGCATATTAGCTCCACTCCCAACCAGAAGGGTTGGTACGTACTTTATACTGCTCCCTATCTTTGCTATCACTTGCTATTATCAGACATTGATATTTTGATAATATGGCGTGCAGTGACATTTTTATTGCTTAATTTAAAGTTATAGGGCTATTCCTTTCTTTCTGTTTTGTTTCCTGGTGATGAGGTAAGAGTTTCTACCGGAATCCATATTTATAAATAGCATAGCTTTAGGAATTTGCCCACATTATCAATGTTTTCAAATTTATTGGCATAAATCTGCTCATTAAAATGTCTTATTAAGTTTCTTCTTGTAGTGCTGAAGATTGAACCCAGAGCCTATGTACATGCTAGGCAAACATTCTAACCACTGAGCTATATTCCAAGCCTATGTTTTTAGACATTATTTACTTTTAATTTTTTTGAGACAGAGTCTCACTATGTAGTTCAGGATGTCCTTGAACTGTGTAGCTTAGGCTGGCCTCAAACTCACGGTGACCCTCCTGCCTCAGCCTCCTGAGTGCTGGGATTATGACTGCGTGCCACCATGCCTAGCTATCTTGTTAGATTTAAAAACCCTGTGGTTACACTGCTTTTTTTGTTCCCAATGTTATTTGTATCTTTCTCTTTTATCATTTAATCAGTCTCTCCAAGGGCTTGTCTAAAAGATTTTTTGTTTTTGTTTTTGTTTTGAGATAGAATGTCACTATGTATTCTAGGTTTTGAACTTGTCAGGTAGCCCAGGTTGGTCTCTAACTGCCATCTTCCTGCCTCACCCACCAGAGTGCTGAGATTACAGACATGAATCATCATGCCTGGCAATTTCTGCTTTTTGTTATCTCCTTCCTCAAATTTCCTTTGGGTTTACTCTGTTGGTTTTCTTCTAACTTCTTAGATTCAAAGCTTAGTAATTAATTTTTAGCCATTTTCCTTTCTCCTTTGTTTGAGAGCTATACCTTTCCTTGATATACCACATTTCTGGCATCCCCTTTATGATGTAAGCCAAAGTATTTTAAAATTTTCATTTGATTGCTTCCTTGTATTTATAATTTCTAACTGAGCAGGAATTTAACATTTATGTTGTATTATTGATTTCTAACTCCACTGCATTGTGATCAGAAAGCCTGGTCTATGCATAAACCAGGAATGGTGGCACATGCCTGTAATTTCAACACTTTGGGAGGCTGAGGCAGGAGGACCTCAAGTTTGAGATCAACTTGGGCAATTTAGTGAGATCCCATTCGCCCCCCCCAAAAAAATAAAGAAAATAAGAAAAAGACGGGGATATAACTCAGTACAAAGTCCCTGGGTTTAACACCCAGCACTGAAGAAAAGAGCAAAAAAAAAAAAAGCCAGCCAGCCAGCCAGTCCATCCCATCCAACTCTAATCTATATTTATGACTGTAACTGCTGAGACTTTTGGGGTCTAGGTCAGGCACCTGCCACTGCAGCTGACTCTTAGGGTTGTGGTCATGCAGTGGTGGTCTCTATGCATTCCTAGTGCCTTGATCTTAGTCTATAAGCTGCTTTGCTCCAGAGGGCCTTCATGGCTCTTCTGCTTTGAGCCAGAGGTTCTATGAACTGAGGAGTCCTCCAGTCTCTTCAGATATCCAGCCTCAGGGAAGAGACTCAGAGCTGGTATCCTGGTGTGAGGGTGATCTGTACGAAATCCCTTCTCAGGGGTCAGAAACATGACTATCAGCAATGGTACATGGTCTGTTTGCCTAGGACAAGCCCGGTCTCACTTTCTCTGGCTCTCACCTCTTCTGGGCCCAGTGCTTGTTTTCCTCTTTTTGGCCAGGATACCTATTCCATGTGAGTCCAGGAAGACATTAAAAACTATATTTTATTGAGGAGTGAATTAATTTGCAGAATTGTGTTGTAGAGCGGAGCAGAGGCCCTAGCACAGGCAGGACAGCTGTTGCAAGCTGAAACCTCCCATAGGTATACTTTCCTAAGCAGGAAACCAAGGCTCAGAGAGGTGGCATGACCTACTTACCCGAGGTCACACAACTAGCACGAGACAGGGCCAGGACTTGAGTCACACCTGCACCTAGAAACCCAGATTCTGTCTACTTTCCCTCCATCGTGAGAGCCTCTGGAGACCTGTCTGGGCCTGGGGATGGCCAGGTGCCCTTACCTGGTTCAGGGGGATGACTAGGAAGGCGCCCCCACCTGCACACTCAGTGACGACTGCGATGAAGTGGGGGTTCACTGCACAGAAGTGATGGTCATGAACACTGCGGGTGATGGGCACGGAGTCGTAGCAGTTTTCCTTGCTGGCGGGTTTGCCGAAGACGTGGCGGAACTTGGAGCTCCGGTACTGGGGGTGCCATGACATCTGTTGGAGGCAAACAGGACAAAAGGCATGAGGCTCGCTGCCCTGATTGTGGGACACATGGAGGGAGAATGTGTAAGCAGGCACAACTGGGACAGTGGTCAGCTGTACGTGGACAGTGATAGTTACAAAGAGCAACCAAGCACGTAGGTTATAGGCACAGTTATCCCTATGGATCCAGGGAGGTAAGGGGGACAGTGTGTCATTACCACCGACTTGTTTGCTGACGTATTAGGGCTTTTCATCTCTTCAAGGGTGAACACAAAAAGGCAGAGAAACCACAGAGAACTCGCCAGCAACCCCATCCAATGCCCCGTCCAACTAAGTAACTACAATCTCCACTTCCAGCTGTTGCTTACTCACTGGGTGTGCAAGCAACTTAACCTCTGGAGCTTCCGTTTTCTTGCCTGTAAAATGGGATAGCAAACACATCTGTTGCATAGACTTGTCACGAAGACTAAATTGGACAATGTATCTAGATCCCTCGGCACGGGGAAGACCTTTAATTGACAGTAGCAGTTACTACCATGCAATTGGATTGGAAGTCTTTATCCAAAAATGCTTGGGACTGGAGGTGTTTCTGAGTATGAATTTTCTCAGATTTGGAAATATCCGCATATACATAATGAAATATCTTGGGGATGAGCCTCAAGTCTAAACACATATTCTTTGATGTTTCATGTACACCTTATACACACAGCGGGAAGGCAACTTCCTACAATACTTTTAGTGTACCTGCATTTGACTTCAACTTGTTATATGAAATCAGTTGTGGAATTTCCCACTTGGGGCATCATGTGGGTGCTCAGAAAGTTTCAGAGAATTTCAGACTTTGAACTTTTGGACCAGGGATGCTCAACCTGTGTTATCATCCAAGAATCTTGAGCTTCCTCTGCTCCTCATTCAGCTGGTGTTGACTATTTACTGAGCATGGTGATGTCCAGATCCCATTTCCAGCATGGAGTGTGAGTCTGAGCTCCACCCTTACAGGAGGGAAGAGTTTTTGTGATGAGTAACACTGGGGACTTGTACAAGCCAGTGGGGAGGACTCGCACTGGAAGTGACCCATGAGTTTGATGTGAAGGATGAATAGGTGCTGGACACATAGGCAGGACAAGGAAGAGCTGGGGAAGGTGTCCCAGGCAGATAGAAGCATCTGAGCAAAGACCCTGAGATTTCAGCAGGCAATGAACGTCTGGGGAACCATCTGTGGTTTAAGATTAGCAAGGAGATACTTTAAAAAATACACACACACACACACACACTCACTCACACACACACACACACACACACACAGTAAGTCCCCGACTTACAAACAAGTTCCATTCTGGGAGAACATTTGTAAGTTGGATTTGTTTGCAAATCTGACAAAGTGAGTCTCATATACCCTTGAAACAAATATACAATGTAAAGCCTAAAAAAATCCCAAATACAGGTCTAGGGATTTAGCTCGGTGGTGCCACCACCTGCCTCACAAGCACAAGGACCTGAGTTCAAGCCTGATACCAAAAATAAAAACCAACAAAAAACAAAACAAAACAAAATACAAGGTCCCTTCCCATCTGTGAAAGTTCATAGCTCAAATGTCTGTAAGTCGGGAACTTTCTGTATATTACAGACACACATACAAGCCTATCCACTGGATGTGGGACTGAGGACAGGTTAACTGAAGGGGTAAGCAGGGCAAAACTGTGAATGGCTGGTGAAAGGTTCGGTCCTTAGCAGTAACCAAACAGGATTTGGGGCCTTGTCTCTGCCAGGGGGACACTTTCAGGTACTAGGCCTTGGCTGATGGAGTCTCACCACCCCCGCCCCATCTCACTGTTAAGGTTTGGGTCTAGATGTCCCCGCAAAGCTTCATGTGGTCATAGGTGGCTTTTTCAGAGGTGGCTGAATCTAGCATGCGTGATGCTAGGATGAAGGGTGTGTGGTTATTAAATCAGACCACTGGTTGCTTTGGCACTGCCCTAGTTACAGTAGTCTGGATAAAAGGGGCTGAAAGACACTGTTAAGGTCCCTAGTTGCTTTGCTACTTTCAGTTTGCCATGAACTGCTGCCCCTCTGCCACGCCCTCCTACCTTGGAGCCAGCTGATTATAGACTGAAGCCTCTACAAACTGTGAACTAAATAAACCTTTCCTTCTTTAACTATGAGTGTCAGGTGTTTTTTCTCAGAAAAAAAAAAATAACTGACATACTCACATCAACCTGTGATGATCCCATCTGTTGCCACCCTACACAATAAGGTCAAACTCCCAAGCTTGGCATTCAAGGCCTTCAGGTTGAATCTCGCTAAATATTTCAGGTTTTAATTTGTCTGGCTTACCCCCTAAACAGTACCGTCTAGTTTCCTTGGTACTTGCCCTTGCATTCCTGGTCCCTGGCACTTCCCCACTACTTGGATTGTTCTTCCCATCCAACCCCTGCTCCAATTTCCAAAACCAATTCCACCCCTTTCCTTATTCCCAAGCTACCACCTCCAGAGAGTCTTTTTTGATCACCAAATTTTAGAGATCTCACCCTCCTCTGCTTCCCTCCAGCTCCCTCTCCCCACCCCACCTTAGTCCCTGGCACTGTGCCCGGATTCAGAGTTTGATGCCAGGGCTCATCTTCTTCGTGGGAAGGTTCCTCAGGGAGCCCTGGGGTTCAGCTGTAGAGTGCCCAGCACAGCAGTTGCCCAGGCCCAGGACACTGGGCAGGACAAAGAAGATGCCTGCCCCACCTGGGTGGCTGGCCCAGGAGGCTGTGCTCTGTGCTCAGTCCTAGGCACAGGATTAGACTGTGTGACCATAGGCAGGTCACAGTGATCAGGTATAGTAGCTTTGCCACTGCTGGATCAAATGCCTGAGACCTACAACTTAAAGGAGGAAATGATTCATTTGGCTCATAAATAATCAGCAGGCTCCAAGACAGCAATGTCGTGGCAGGAGGGTGTGGTGGAGCAAAGCGGCTGGGAAGCTGAGCAAGGACACAGTGCCAGAAAGGACAGGGGCCAAGGACCAGAGACAGTGCAAGAGGTCACGCCTCCATGACCCACCCCAGCCACTCCCCAAAGCGTGCTTTACCAATCTGCTAGGTGTTTCTTAATCCTAGTGACACGTCTTGATCAATATTATACCTGGGTTCTGATCACTGGGCTTTGACAAAGCACCAGGTGGTCCTGTGGTCTTCCAGGGGCCGTTCTACTATGCAAAGCTCAGAAATTTCAAGTTTCCTTCTGGGAGCTCTGTCAAAACCCTGGCTGAATTTGCCAGAGCTACCGGAAGGAACGTAGAACACAGTGATGGAGTAATTAAAGTCCACTGATCCTCATTTATAGACCTCAAGAGAACACAAAACAAAGAAAGCAAAAAGTCATAGCTAAGGAAATAGAAACAGAGGGAAAATGCAGGCAAAAACCAATCACCTGAATTGTAGGAGTACTTATACTATTAAGCACATGCTACCTGGTCCTCTATGCAGAGAAGGTGGGCTAGACCTCAGATTTGGGTCTGAACTTCCTAGTGGCCAATTTGACAAGGGAAACAATCAGAATCATTGTCCATTAGCTTAAAGCCACCAGTTGTTAAGGAGTGGTGAAGCTTTTCTCTGTACTGGGTCATGAGAAAAATGGGTACTGGGGTCCTCCTGGAAAGGCATGACAAGGAAAATGATGCCCTTAGGCTTTTGGCAAGTAGGTGGGGAGCTGCCTTAAGCCTGACCTGGGTGTGGGAAAGCAGGAGGCAAATCAGCAGGCTCTGCACCGGCCCCTGACCTGCTCACTTTAAGCAGCTGCTGGGTGGGGAGGGGTGCCTGTGTGTGGCAGATGGTAATGCCCATTAGCCTTCCATGTCCTCCTTCCTGGAACCACAGCATTCACTCTGACCGGTGGATTATGGGAGAAAGTCACGGGCTCACTCGCAGAACACAGCATGTTAAGACCTGCCCGTGACACTTTAGCACTCTCGTCCCTCACTGAAGAGGCAAACTTTCAGATGGAGGTTCCTGAGGACTGTGTGGAGTAGAGCAGCTCTCCAACTGACAGACGGCAGGACAGAGAAATCAGGCAACAGCTCCCTTGGGGCTCAGCACCTCCTTGGCAATGAAACCTAGGTTTTGAGCGCTCACTGTGTGCCCAGTGCTTTCCACATACAAATACAACTGGTAGGTGTCCTGTAGCTTCCCACAACGATGCAGGGGTAAGGCGAGCAACTAGGCCACAGCTGGTAAACAGGAGACCTGTGGGTCGAACCCAGCCCCGGGTTCCTGCAGATACTAACCCTGATGATGACAGCATCGGCACACCTATTACACCCCTGGACCTCAGCCCCCAAGTGGGGGTGGAGGTGCTGTGACCATCCCCACCCCTACTTAACGGTGAAGCAAAGTAAGTGCAGGAAGCTCACAGGACCCCTCTGGAAAGGAGGCTGTTAGCCACTGCTAGCTACTTTCTCTCACTGCTGAGACAAACTACCCAGCACCTAAAGTTAGAAGGAAGGGGCTTATTTGACTTACAGTTCATAGAGGTTTCAGTCCACAATCAACCAATTCCAAGGCAGGGAAGGCAAGCAGGCATCAGAGGAGAAACAACATGGTGCATACACAAGGCGGCAAAGGCAACGAGAGAGTTAACAGGGTCTCCCTGCCCCTTTTATCTTATTCAGACCACTCAGGGCAGGTAGCACTCACACCCTTAATCCTAGTGCCCTTGAGCCTAGCATTGCACCATGAATCAGTTCCAGCTTCACACACTCCAGATCCAGCCTGGGATCACATGAGTCTGTGGGGGGACATCTGGACCCCAACCATAATAGTCGCCATGGATGAAGCCAGGTGGTAACTGGGCAGCCTGAACATTAATGCACTCCAGCCCCATCACAGCCCTTTTCTCCACTGCCAGGTTTTCCCAGATCTGCTGACAGGGAAGGGAAATTACAGCAGTGGGGGTGGGGTGGGGTGGGCCCTAGCAAGGCTGGCCTCTCTTCCTTGGTACAGGTGTGTGCGTGTACCATGCGGGCGAGTGTGAACCTGTGA